CATCTCATTTTAAATATAAGAAATCTAAAATATAATTAGCATAATCATTAAGTTCTAACATAATACTTAATTATTATGTTTATAAAATGTTATATTATTAAACCAAATATAAATTATTTCATTATTAAACTTAAATTAAATTATAATAAAAAAATAAATTAGAAAAATTACATAAAAATTTATAATTTTTAAATAGTTGATTTGATATTAACATTGATATTTTTTTTTTCAAATTTTTATGATATTTTCAAATTTATACTTTATTCCAAAATAAAATCATTATTGTTTTCTTAAAAACACATAAAATTGTATGACAAAGACAAAGACTAAAATAGAACATTAAAATCGAAATGTATCTCGATGCATTGTGCGAGTATCCTCCTAGTATAACGAAAATATATGGTTGTGGAATACTGTGAGTTTAATATAGCCATGTTTGATAAAAATAAGATAGTTTATAGGATAATTTATTTTTTAAAACTTAATGCAAAATACTCTTTTTGAAATGACAAATGAATTGTTTGTTTACCTCTTAGTAGTTTCATTAAAAGACAACCACTGAATAATTAAGAGGTGAACCTTGTTTGACAAAAAAAAAGTCTCTTAATGGTTCTAAAACCATCTGAATGATTTTGTGTCTTGGGCCTCCCTTAACCATTCAACACCCTAATTTTATTCTGAATAATTACCAAACAATTGTATTTCATTTTGCACTATGTTATAAGAGTTTTTTAATCATTCTGACCACTTTATCATTCTACACCAAACCTTTTTCTTCTTCTTTTTTTCCTCTTTACTTGCCAAGTTTAAGAGCCTAACGTTAACGATCTTTTAGAAAAATAAAACCAACAATAAACATCTCCACATCATAAACGAGTTGATTTCAAGTAAGGAAAGTGACACAACTGATTTAATAACGTTTTAATCAATCCTCACATGCTATCTAGTGTTATCATCATTCGACTTTTATCAATAATGCCTTCAATCATTGTTGAGTACAATGAATAAGATTTAATCAACATAATAATAAAAAATTTAATTATTATACCTTAAGGAATTAATGGTTTGGTCATCTTTGTTTTTTTCTCTCTTAAACAAAAAATAAAGTAATTAAAATCATATAAATTAATCACAAATGTAAGTATGATAAGATATTGTAAAAAATAAAACAATCCATGATTATTAAATGCATCTTTAACATATTTTTTAATTTATTTAAAATTTTCATAAAATAATTACATTAGAATTCAGAAAACTTTTATATTATGAAGAATTTAACATAGCTTTCTTAAAATATTTTATATGTTGAATAAAATATTATTTCATTTTGATAAATATTATATTTATTTATAAAATAATAATAAAATATTTCTTCTGTTTTTTCTATTTTAGAGAAAAGTTTTAGAAAATTGTTATAGCAAAATCTTGCTTAAAATATCAACAATCTCCATTTTCTAAATTTTGTTTATTTGTTGGAGATACTATAAAAGCATCTTCTGAAATAGAAAATATAAATATATTGACCATCTTCAATTCAATATTGTTTCGTAGCTGTTAATGATCTGGTGCAAAATGATTAAATGACCAGAATGATTAATAGACTCTTATGATATAGTGTAAAATAAAATATAATTGTTTGGAAATTGTTTATGATGAAATTATGGCGTTTAATGGTTAACGGAGATCCATGATACAAAATCATTCAGAGGGTTTTAAAACCATTAATAGGCATAATGTTTTTTTGCTGAACAAGATTTACCTCTTAACGCTTCAGAAACTGCCTCTTAATGGAACTATTAAGAAGTAAACAAACAACCCATAAAAACACCAAAATGGAGGTGTTTTCATCTCCAACCTAATACTAAAAAAAGGAAGGTCCAAAATATTGGTCTCTATATTTGAAGGTCAATAAAATAGTCTCTAAAAATATATATTAATATTTTATTCAACTTTTCTAATTATATATAGATTAATAGTTTAATATATTAATAAAATAGTATAATATATATATATATATATATATATTATTTTATTGATAAAAATACTTTTAGTGTATAGTTAAAGTTGAATATTTTTGGTGTTCAAGGACCTATCATTTATAATGTTTTTTAGTATTTGGATAGGAAATTCTACAACAATTTCCTGAAAAGTTTTATAAAATCGAGAAAATATAAAAAAGGAGATAAATTTCTCCGAATTGAAGAACTATCTAATATTTCATATATGGATGATAACTATACTTTTAATTGTTTTTTTTATTAATCTGGATATCCAACTCGCTATGTGAGCCGACTAATCCCAAGACGACCACATATTTTTAATTGTTTTCACCAAAATAAAAGACTTTTATTGGAAAAAAAGGTTGTTATTATTATAACATTTTCAATAGATTACGTAAAAAAAAAAAGTCTTTAAAATGGAGAATCAAATTAAAGTATTTTCAAACAGATGGCATTAAATTTCAACAAAATTTTCATTTTAAATATTATAATATTAAAATATTTCATAGATTTAACAAAATTTTATTTCATCCTTTCCAGATAAATATCCACGAAGAAAAAAGACACATACTTTATTTAAGAGCATCTCCAACAAATTTTTAAAAATAAAGAATATTGGAGTTGTATTTTTTATATTGTTATCCAACAAAAAATAAAACCTAGAGAAAATACATAGTTTAGAAAATTTCCTAAAATTTAATGGGATGTGAGAGAATTGGTTTTTTGTTTCATTTCCATCAATAAGATTAATTTGTTATTAGTTTATATAAAGTTTTTTTAGAAGGTGAATTGGGATGATAAAACTATAAATATATTAATAATCTATACTATATTATAAAATTTTGATAAAATCCTTTAAAAATATTTTATGCATGAAATATTGTTTATTGATACATATTACTTAAAATTTAAGATTACAAGTAAATTGTATATAAGTATAACTTATTAAAACTCCATTTTCTAATTCGTATAACTAACGACAGCTAAAAATAATCAAATACATGATAAATATATCATTTTAAATATAAAAAATCTAAAATATAATTAAGATAATCATTGAGTTATAATAGAATCATATCTTTATAAAAATTATATTGTTAAGCCAAAAATAAATTGTTTCGCTGTTAGAACTAAATTGAATTATAATAAAAAGAAATTTGAATTAAAGAAATTGTACAAAAAAACGAGAACTTTTAAATAGTTAATTTGATATTAATATTAATATATTTTTTCAAACTTTTACGATATCTTTAAATTTATTTTTATTTAAAATTAAAAATATTATCTTTCTCAAAACCACATAAATCGTATTATATCAATAGAGACAAATAATAAAACGAAACATTAAAAAAAATATCTCGCTGCATTGCGTGAATACCCTTCTAGTATAAATAATGTTGAAATATCTAAACTATATAATCTGTTGAAGTTGAATGTAATTTTGTTTATAGATGTTTGACTTTTGGTACATTATCTAAAGAAATTATTGAGAACTTGTTTGGAATCTCCAATAGATTTTTCACAATAGAGATTTTGTGGATTTTTGTTTTAATACATACTCTAAAACCGTATCTAAACAAAAGAAAGTATGAGAGAGATGATGGGGAAACATGGAAAAAAATAAGATTGAGATTATTTTTGAGTTTTTTTTGTTTCATCCAAAAATGTAGCACAACATGAGATTAAATTTGAGATTATAATATTGCTCTTATTATTTGATATCAAAATACAAACCTAATTTAATTGCATCATTTCTCTTCTCTTCCACAACCTCCATTCTCGATTCCAACCTCCATTCTTGAAATGTTAAACTTTTGACGGCTTTTCACAAATATTATTTACAATTGTTATGTTTAAATTTTTTAAATTATGTACGTATTTAGAATTTGTGGTATGACAAATGTTATTTACATGTAGTCTTGGAATGTTAAAAAAAATATTGATATCATAGATTAAATAATTTAAATATATTTTTAGTTGATTTGTTGTCATTTACAATCATTACATGATATAAAATAACATTAAACAACATTTAGGAGTAATATGTTCATTCTAACAGTTTTGTTATGTCATGTCCTAGTCGTACCAAACATATGACAGACAATTAGTCCTGTCATTCCCGTCCCATTCAATCTACGTACCAAACACTACTTAAGTGTACAATGAAAAATAGATATTTTACTTTTGAAAGTAGACGCTTACAATGTGTTCTCAATACCTTCTTTAGGTATATTTATAACAATAACATCTTTCCTTTCATTTATCCCATATTCAAGAACATGTAGAATTGTTTTCTTTCTTCTCTTTTCCTACTCTTTCAAGAACATAAATAAAAAAAATATTTGTATTTTCTTCCCAAATCCAAGAGCACAACGTTATTATTGGGACAAACTAAAATTGTAATATAGACACTTGTATAAAATTTGTTAGAAATTATTATTTAACCAAATGGCCTTTAGTTTAGTGGTATCTAAGTCTTTGGTCTTTTAAGAGATCAGATGTTCAAACCTCACAAAATATGAGGAGAGGGTGTGAGTTTATTTGTTCAATTTATGGTTTATATTATATACTTAAATTTTTTTGTTGAAAATTACTATTTTATATAATTTTTTATATGAATCGGTAAATATTTAATATCATATAATTAATATTGGAATCTTCAAAATAAAAAAAATATATATATATTAACATTAGATATATATTTTTGAATTGTTTTAATTATTTTTTACAAAATTTGTTGAAGAGTGCACTATAAATAAGGAATGAGGAAACAAAGAACTCAATTGCTTCTTCATCACACATATATCTATATGTATATGTATAGATACATAGAGTGTGTATGTATAACAATCTGCAACGGAGATCCATACATTCATCTAAGAATCTAAATTTGGGCGACGTGGAGGAGAGAAACTCTTGCATTTCATATCCTCATCCACTCATCTTCATCAACAATTTAATATACACACCACAAGCTTCAATTTTCCACACACATACTTGCCATTTCTCTCTCTAGAAACACAGAGAGAGAGAGAGATCTGCAAAACCTTTCATTTCGATTCTATCATCTGGGTCTCTCCAATGGCTACATGGGTCTTATCAGAATGTGGTGTGAGACCATTCCCAAGAATCTATCCTAAACCAAGAACTGGACTATCCAATTCCTCCTTTTCCAATCCCGATTCCATTGAAATTGCCCCATCCAGAACCTCTAATCCAATCACAATCTGTACTTCGTTTTCAAGAGTCGGTAGATACAGGAATTGGGGATTGAAGGTGAGTGCACCAGTCAAAATCCAGTTGTCAGATGAAGATGAAAAAGAGATAAACAACGATGGAGATGGTGAGTTCGATCCTGGTGCGCCCCCACCTTTCACATTGGCGGATATTAGAGCTGCCATACCCAAGCATTGTTGGGTCAAGGATCCATGGAGGTCTATGAGCTATGTTCTCAGAGATGCGGTGGTGGTTTTTGGGTTGGCTGCGGTGGCGGCTTATTTCAATAATATCGTGGTTTGGCCTCTTTATTGGATTGCTCAATCGACAATGTTCTGGGCTCTGTTTGTTCTCGGCCATGATTGGTACTCAACAGATATCTAATTTTTCGGTAAAGAATTCTCTTTAGGGGTTAATTACCATTCTAATTATTATAACTATTATCTGTTTTTGATTGTTCTCAGTGGCCATGGAAGCTTCTCCAATAATGGGAAACTTAATAGTGTAGTTGGTCATCTTCTTCATTCTTCCATTCTTGTACCTTACCATGGATGGTATGCTTCTGGTTTCTGCAATTCACTGTTCATTTTGATTCATTTGTCTCTTTTAATCTCGTTTTTCATCAATTGAGTTGGATTTTACAGGAGAATTAGCCATAGAACTCATCACCAGAATCATGGACATGTTGAAAACGATGAATCTTGGCACCCAGTGAGTCTCTCTCTTCACTAACCTTGATTCATAAGATCGGTTTCAATAATTTGGATACTTTCTAACAAAATGGGTATTTTCAGTTATCTGAGAAGATCTACAGAAGTTTAGATTCTGCAACCAGAAAATTGAGGTTCACTTTGCCTTTCCCAATGCTTGCATACCCATTCTATCTGGTTAGCCTCCATCACTCTTATCTAAACCAAATCTAAGATTTTTCCACCATTTTTTAACATGTTTCCAACATCTGTTTTCGGTTCAAATTTCAGTGGAGTCGAAGCCCAGGAAAGAAAGGCTCGCATTTCCACCCCGATAGTGATTTATTTCTACCAAATGAAAAGAGAGACGTTATCACTTCAACTGTGTGTTGGTCAGCCATGGCTGCCCTGCTTGTGGGTTTATCCTTCACGATGGGTCCTCTTCAAGTACTTAAACTCTATGGCATCCCTTATTGGGTCAGTTAAACACTTCATCTTCTTCAAAACCTTCATCTTTTTCCTTTTTCTTCAAACTGACAATCATATTTCTTGATTTGAATCCAGGGTTTTGTTATGTGGCTTGATCTAGTAACTTATTTGCATCATCATGGCCATGAAGATAAACTCCCTTGGTATCGTGGAAAGGTTTGACTTCCGAAACGAATATGATTTCTGATCCTTATTTCTTTCATTCTCAAAATTGATCAATTTCTGAAATGGGAATAACAGGAATGGAGCTATCTAAGAGGAGGACTAACAACACTCGATCGTGACTACGGATGGATCAATAACATCCACCATGATATCGGAACTCATGTGATTCATCATCTCTTCCCTCAAATCCCACACTATAACCTAATAGAAGCGGTAAGCGTTCTTGATTCTCAAAAGTTTCGATATTTTCTAGCAATTCCAAACAGAATTCTAATGCTTTCAAATACAATGATTTAGACGGAAGCTGCGAAGCCAGTTTTTGGGAAATATTACAGGGAGCCAAAGAAATCTTGGGTCCTTCCATTTCACTTGCTGGGAGTTCTTGCAAGAAGTCTGAAGAAGGATCACTACGTGAGTGATGAAGGGGAGATCTTGTACTATCAGACAGACACCGCCAGAAATTAAGACAATTGTTAAGATTTAACAAGAGAAAGGGATGCTACAAGACCTAATGATTCTTTTTGCTTGACAAAATGTTCCAGAGTTTGTGTAAACACATTCTCAGGCCATATATATATTCCGGAACCTTCATTTTCTCGACATGAAAATAATGCAAACAAAAAATAGACCGACTTGAAAACGATAAGGGTTTTGTAGTCTTTTAACTTTGTTCGTTTGAAACTCTTTCGATCTGATTGTAATCTTGAAAAGAGTTGAGAGTCGATAATCATATACAAACCAAACGAGTTTAATAAATCTGATTTGGAGGTAGAGTCTACGGTGACATCTGCTAAAAATTTATGATAAATCATTAATCCGAATATAACCCATGGTTCATAAATTAAATGATAGTGATATAAGAAAAGGGTATGGACCTAAAATACATGTGATGTATAAAAAATGGTGCTTGTTCATTTATGGTGTTTGAGGTGCGAATGTCGTGTAGTTGGGTAGGATGTTACAACTCAAGGGACACTAATGGTAAAGTTGAGAGTTATTTATTGAATATTTGAAATTTTACGAGATCTTTTTTTTTATTAACCTGGATATCCAATTCGTTATGCGAGCCGACTAATCCCAGGGCGACCACCTGCTTTTGCAGATAGCCCAGAGTCATCGCATTTGAACCTTCGTTGCTACAAAGGGATTTTTATTCCTCGGATTTGAACATGAGACATCCTGGTACTTTTGACTTTTGGAGCAAAGCTCAAACCAATCAGACACCATCCTTTTATAAAATACAAGTAACTTAATAGCATTCAACACTTGGATCGTTTATTAGCGACATTTTTTGAAAAGTTTTCTGTAAATTTTATTTGGGACGCTTTTATAAACCAATTTTCAATTGAAGTGTAATGAAAAGATAGATAACAAGATGACTAAAATCGGGAATTCGGGATTATTTGTAGTTGGTTCAGTTCGGTTAGTAAAGGAAAATGTGAAACGTATCGCATGGAGCAAATACCTTGTTACCTGAATCGATACCGAACTATAGGTTAAATTGAACCAAACCAAAAATAAGGCGGTTACCCATAGTTCGGCTCACAAGTGACTCAAATCTATAAAAAATATCATTTAAAATATCAAAAAGCTATTGGAATATAACATTTAAGATGAATACACAACAAACAGATGAAAATAATCAAAACACTACGAATTAAAATATGTTTAATTGATTAAAACCATCTATTTTTTCGGTTTGTTGACTCTTCATGACTTCATACGGTCAACTTTAATCATCCATCCTAACGTTTGAAAACAAAATGTAAGAGATTTTTCCTCATTTAACTTTAAAATAATAAATAATTAAGTAATAATATAGATATTATATATACATTATATCAGGTTCGGTTCGGATATCCGTCATACCTAAAGTTCAAAACCAAAACAGACCCGTAAATACCCCTTTTTTTTTTTCCTTTTTCCTTTTTTTCAGTTTTGGGTTTTTGGATTTTCGGATTTTTCGGCACGGTTTCTTGTTTTTCGATTTTTTAACACCCCTAACTAAAATGCAACAAAATGAAGACAATTTCTTATTTTGTATGATGATAATTCTTTAATTTTTATATCCATTTTAATCGGAGCTGATAAGATATTGTGACTACTGAAAATTGATGGCATGAGTGTTGAGTTGTAAGATTTTAATTCTTAATTGCATGAAAAGTTGTCATCAAAATCAAACGGTGTCATGTACACTGAAAAACTTGTTTATCAAGTAAAATGAATTTAACACAAAAGAAATTAACGAATATTTGCTACATTAATCATGTAAAACTTGTTTATTTGTTACCTCTATTTTTTATTGTTTTAGTGTTGGGTTGGAAATGAAACATCTTCATTGTTGTGTTTTTAGTGTTGAATTGAAGATGGTCTTATAAAAAAGGTTGATGTTCATACCTCTCACTCACATAAACCTAGTTCTTACCTCTAATCTCACTCAAATTAGGGGTACTCAAAATACTGACCAACCTGGTCAACCCAACTAGAAGAAACCCAAAAAATCTCAACCAGAAGTAACCCGACACTTAGTTGATACATAATTAGGCCAACCCACATCTATTCGGTTGGAATTGAATTAGGGTCGTTTGAACCCAACCCACATCTATTTGGTTGGAGTTGAATTAGGGTCGTTTGAACCCAACCCAACTTGATGAACACGATGTCCTTCTATACGATATCTTTGATTAACATATATATATATATATATATATATATATATATATTACAATTTGAACCGTAATTTTACGTTCTTATTTGCATTAACTTTCAACTTTTTTTGAGTTTGCTAGTCTTTTTTGTAAGTTATCATTTTGATTTTACTTCGTTTAAACACAAACACTTAGGGGTTGTTTACTAAACACTTACTTGGTAAGTGCTTACCGGATAAATTTTCTTATCGGATGAACATGAGAAGGGCCAAGAATCTTACAGGGTAAGAGCAATGAAAAAGATGGAGAATCTTACCCGTTAAGTAAGGATGACGACTCTTACTCAAGTAAGCACATACCCAGTTACTTGTTGCATTCAATATGTTTTGATGTACTAAAATCTTGCGTATCAACATAAATTATAATGTTGAATCCTATCAGTAAACATTTACCGGGTAAGCATTTAGGTAAACGGCCTCTTAGTTATATTATAAAATGATATACCCAAATTTTTAACCCGACCAACCCAACTCGTATGGTTTGGATTGAGTTGGGTTGTAGTTTTGCTTGATTTGAGTTGAATTGAGATTTTTCAAACCGTAAACATTGAATTGGATTGTTCAAATATTTTCAACCAAACAACCCAATCCACATATAGTTTTAACTCAAATACCCACTATAAAAAAGACGGAATAAATAGAATTCATTTACTTATTTAGTTGTTAGGTCATTTATAGGGATAAAACTTGTTATTTATTAATTGTTAGGCTGACCAATTGGTTTTGTAGTAATACATTTATAGAAAGTAACGGTTAATAATATCACCCGTAAAATGAATTATTTAAGGGGTTGTTTACCTAAATGGTTATCTGGTAAACACTTACCGTTAGAAGTAAACAATATAATTCATTTTCTAGGTAAGATTGTAGTATATAAAATAATAAAAATGGTATCGTGTGCAACAATATATATGGTAAGCGCTTACCTGGGTAAAAGTCGTCACCCTCACTTACCGGGTAAGACTCTCTATCCTTATTATCGCTCTTACCAGGTAAGATTCTTAGGTTTTGTCATGTTCGTCCAGTGAGGAAAATTGCCCGGTAAACACCTAACGAGTAAGTGTTTAGTAAACGGCCCATAAGTTTTGAATTTTATTGATGAATAATGTTTTTACTAAAAAATGATTATAATAATAATAATAAGAAAAATTAATATTTTGAATTTATCTTTTAATCATTTCTCTTATCTATACTATATTATAAAGCATTTGGCTAAAACTCTTAAAAACTCTTAAACTCTTAAAACTCTTAAACCCGTTCATCCCTACACAATTTAATCTCTATCCGATTTCATCTCATAACTGAATTCGTGTAACTAACTGCAGATAAACACAATCAAATACAGGATAAACATCTCATTTTAAA